CTTTCTCCGGGGGGGGGGGGGGGGTTTGGTGGGTAGGAGGGCGCATTGAGGAGCCTGGCCTTGGGGCAGCAGAGAGAGTAAATCTGGCCCTGAACCTCCCCAGTGGGAAGAAAAGAACATAATAAAAACCTGGCAGATTTTTTTAACCTTTTTTCCCACTTCATACAAAACTAAAAAAGAAAGGTTGGCACTGAAAGGGTTAAATGCCTTTATGTGGAGAGGCTGGAATAAAGTAGATTTACTTGCCTGGTCCCTGCTTCTGTCAGCTCCCTCTGGGCTGCTAGACCGGTCCCTGCAGCCTCTCTAAGTACAGGTTCCATAGACCTCCATTAGATGTGAGGGTGCTAAGGGACATTCCACAGCCTGAGCAGAGGGGAGAATAAGAGAGCGCTGATCGCCGGGGGAACAGGTAAGTAGATCTGCATTATTCCAGTCCCCTAAAACCGAGTGCCGGTGCCTTGTGCCCCGATTATCAGGAAGTCGGGCAGCGGATCATGACTAGCGAAAGAATACCAGTTTCACTTCACGAGGCTGCCTGGATTCCTGACCAATCAGGAAGCCAGGCGTCACATCATGACCCACCTCCCGGCTTCCTGATTGGCTAGGAAGCCGACTCCATTCTGATTGGCTGGAAAGCTGGCTTCCCGGCCGATCAACATCGAGCTGGCCAAACAGCCGTGAGGCAGGTTATTATGTGCTGCCCAGCTTCCTGATTGGTTAGGAAACCAGGCAGCTTAGCAACACGTGAAGCCAACTTTATAGCCAATCAGGAAGCTGGGGGGCGGGTCAAAACTCACCGCCCGGCTTCCTTTCCAATCATGCTCCCTTGGTACTGCCGGTCAAAGGGAGATCTCCCTCTTACCGTAAGTTCCAGTATCAGAGGTAAGTATCGGAGCATTTGGGCGAGTACAAGTACTTGCTCAAATACTCGGTATCGGCACCGGTACCAGCTTTGTTCTGCTTTAAAGAGATTGCAAAGAACCTTTTGAAATTATATGAAGATGGTAAAGCTTCCATGAGGTTTTGGTGGTTGGGTTGAGTTGGAGTACAGGTAGAGAATGAGATGGCCCAGGATGGAGCAGGGGACAGTCCTCTGGGGGTGATGGAGGTGGTTACATTGTTGGAGGACACATGGAGATGGTTCAGAATGGGTCAGGGGACAGTCCTCTGGGGGTGACTACATTGTTGGAGGACACATGGAGATGGCTCAGGGGACAGTTCTCTGGGGGTGGATGGAGATGGCTCAGGATGGCTCAAGGGACAGTACCCTGGAGGTGGTTACATTGTTGGAGGACAGAAGGGGATGGTTCGGGATGGATCAGGGCACAGTCCTCTGGGGGTGGATGGAGGTGGTTACATTGTTGAAGGACACATGGAGATTGCTCAGGATGGGTCAGGGGACAGTCCTCTGGGGGTGGATGTTGGTGGTTACATTGTTGGAGGACACATGGAGATGTCTCAGGATAGGTCAGGGGACAGTCCTCTGGGGGTGGATGTTGGTGGTTATATTGTTGGAGGACACATGGAGATGTGTCAGGGGACAGTTATCTCGGGGTGATGGAGGTGGTTACATTGTTGGTGGACACATGGAGATGGCCCAGGATGGATTAGGGGACAGTCCTCTGGGGGTGGATGGAGGTGGTTACATTGTTGGAGGATACATGGAGATGGCTCAGGATTGGTCAGGGGACAGTCCTCTTGGGGTGGATGGAGGTGGTTATATTGTTGGAGGACACATGGAGATGGCTCAGGATGGGTCAGGGGACAGTCCTCTGGAGGTGGATGTTGGTGGTTACATTGTTGGAGGACACATGGAGATGGGTCAGGGGACAGTTATCTGGGTGTGATGGAGTTGGTTACATTGTTGGAGGACACATGGAGATGGCTCTTGGGACAGTCCTCTGGAGGTGGTTACATTGTTGCAGTGTGTATCTCCGGGGGAGAGCGCTGTATGGAGTGTGGCAGTGAGGAGGCAGCAGAGAGCTGTGATGGATCCCTGAGCGGAGGGGAGAGGCAGCAAAGCCACATTCCTCCCTTCTCCTCCTCCTGCCTGTCTCCTCCTCCTTCTCCCCAGCTATTCACCATTTTACACTCCTCTTTCTCCCCCCCAGCCTCTTCCACCATTGCCTCTGGAGCCTGGTCCCCCCCCCCCCTTACAAAAAAGAAAATTCCCCTCGGGACCCGGTCCCCCCCCCCCCTTACAAAACAGAAAAAGAGGGGTGATCCCCCTGCTACAGCCTCTCCCAGCGTTAGCGCTCCCCAACATGCGCGATCCAGCCAGAAGAGCAGCGCGCACACGCGTCTAAATCCTGCTGGAGGAACCTGGACTTCCAGGACAAGAGAAGGAGAAGATTGGGGCTCCACACTGCCAGATCCAGCTTTGTAACACGATTCTGAGGGGTCCCAGGCGTCTACCAGCCCGGATACACACTGTTGTGAACGACTTCTGGAGGCAGGGATCCACTTGGAGGAGGAGGGATCTGGAGAGAGCCAGCGCTTGGTGGAGTTGTTGGGTTTGAAGGACAAGGCTGACTTGGGAGATCAGAGGGAAATAGATCGGCAGGAAGGACGGTGTGAGATCAGCCCAGGATGGATGAGCAAGGCAGGCTGCTCCAGGGCAGGGGGGTTGGCATTCCGGGGCACCCAATTCATGGGGTGCCCCAGACCCACACCCCCCACCCCATGCATGATGCCAATGCAGACAATGGGGAACCCAGGAAGCAAGACATTGGCGATATTTTGCAACAGATCATGACCATTACAGACCAGAGCCTGGATGAAGCTCAAGCAAAGTGAGTACAGGAGGAGGGGGTTGTGTGTATGTGAGAGGGGGAGGGGGGTGAGGCCTGTATATAATCTATATACACAATATATATGTAGTGTGCTCACCTAAAGAACATTGCTTCCCACCAGCCCCTCTGTGCGGCTGCTCCCCCAGCCAAATCATTTCTAGATGCATTTTAAACTTTCGTGCATTGTTTTCTTTTTTACTTCCTGGATACATCACAACTTTTTAATGTGTACATAAACTATTTGGTGCTTGAAATTCGGTCACTCAGATCATCTCTATAAACAAAGGCTGACTGGGCCAACTTGGCTACCTAGTCCCCATTTATAGGAAAGGCAAATTATGTATTGTGTGCTCCCCTATAGAACCCAGCACTCCATGATCTGAGCCTGCTCAACCTACAGACCTATTTATAAATACATTATACACTTTTGTCACATTTGTTTTTCTTTTTTTACTTCCTCAATAAGATCACAACTTTCTATATTTATAAATAAACTATAAGTGATTGTTTGGGTTACCCAATCATTGCTACAAACAAAGGCTGATGGACCAACTTAACTAACTAGTCCCCATTTATAAGAATGGGTTATATTAAAGATTGTATTGTGTGCTCACCTACTGAACACGACCCACCATTGGCTGATCTGTGGGTGGGTGCTCAACCTACAGACCTATTTATAAATACATTGTACACTTTTTCTATTTTCTTTTTACTTCCTCAATAAGTTACTTTGCAAACAAAGGCTGGTTGGGCCAACCAGGCTAACTAGTCTCTATTTATAATTACAGGCATACATAGAAGTCTGTATTGTGTGCTCGCCTATAGAACATTGCTTCCCAAGGCCCACCACTGTGGCTTCTCACCCAACAGATTTATTTATAAATACAGGGGAAACTTTTGTGACATTGTGTTCCTCTTTACTTCCTCAATAAGATTATGACTTTGTTTGTAAATAAACTATTCTTGTTAAAGTTACCCTAAAAACATTTGCTTTTATTGGAGCTCATCTAGATCTATGTGGAAGCATCACCTTGTGTGTTAGTATTGGTGATAGCATTTCTATAGGTGTGTGTAAACAAAGGGTTGCTTGGGCCAACTTGGCTAACTAGTCCCCATTTCTAATAATAGGCATACATTGAATTCTGCATTGTGTGCTCACCTATAGAACATTGCTCCACAAGGGCCAACGCTGTGGCTCCTCACCCAACAGAATTATTTAAACATAAAAGGAAAACCTTTGTTACATTGTTTTCTTTTTGTAACTTCCTAGAGAAGATCACAACTTTTAGGTTACTTCTAGGTTACCCTGCAAACAATGGCTGGATTAGGCCAATTTTGCTAACTTGTCCCTATTTATTTGAAAAGCTTGGGAGCCCCCCAACGCTATAGGAACTCCTATCAATCCCAGCGGAAACATGACCCTGTGTGTTAGTATTGGCAGGGTCGAAGCTGGGGGGCATGTGCTCCGGGTGCCAATTTAGGAGGGGTGCCACTGGGTGTGAGCATGGAGAACTTATTCCTTGGGGGGGAGCAACTCTGAATCTTTCCCCCCCCCGGGTGATAGTGTCTAGCTTTCCCACTGAGTATTGGTAATAGCATGTTTATATGTGTGTAAACACAGGCACATGGCACAGAAAACCAGAATACTGAACAGGATGTATATTCACTGTACAAGCTTTTGTTCTGTTAGCTGCCATTTTAGGCTACAGGAGGCTTAAAAGTGACAGTTTTTCTGTTTTCCTTCTATGGGGTCACTAGACAGGAAGTGAGCTGTGTGTTGGAAAATATCACTCTCTCTACACAACTGCTTTCGTTTTAATTATTTTCACTTTTACAGCCATTGAAATTTTGTATTTATTCATTATTTTTGGAGGCCTTTAACTGTCTAAAACTAGTTAACTTTCTTCCCTCTAGCGATGAACTGCAAGTCCCAGAGAGTCTCTTAGCAAGGTGAATATTCTGTTTCCTTGTTTGCCGAGGGGGTCTATTGTCATCCTTCAATCCATGTCATTAATCGTCCCTTCCACCTTTTTCTCCAGGCCATTACATGACACAATACCTCCTCATTTCACTTGCATTAAAAGTGCCAAAGGCTGCTGTTTACCTTGCAAAAGCGCGGAAAAAGAAGTTTGGAACTTTTTAACAAGGGGCGGCTTATCTTCACAGCAGCGCCGTGTAATTATATCAATTAGCATTTTAAATGAATTTATATGGCTCTCAAAGGACATAATGAGAAGAAAATGAGTGTGTTGCATTATGAATGGGTGTATGTTCTATATGTGCTGCTCTGTAGGTATGTATGTGGGTGCATGTACAGTATAAATCTGCATTTTCATATATAAAACACATACATTCAAAACATCTGTTTTTGTAGATTGTGTGTTCTTCATAAAACAATAAAATGGCCTTAAATTGGTGTATTTTATCCAAGTAAAGTAAACAAACCTTCACAGATATAATCCTGAGATTTTATGTACCTCCATAAAAAAACATGTGCCTTTCTGATGGTGTGTTTTAACGCGGTCCGTTCTCCTAACAGCATGGTTATAGAGTTGAATGTTTTTGTCTTTTTTTAAATCTTGAAACATATGTGATTAAACTCGGCAGAACAATGATTGTTCTTCATGAAATCTGCAACTCTAAAAGGGTTCATGCGATGAAGGGCACGTACAGCAATGACCAACGAGATTTCAACATTTGCCATTGTGGGAAAGTTCAAAAAGTTGATTGTTGATGCGAGTTGTTGCGCCCAGCTGTGCACATGATGAAGCCCTAAGATTTGCATTGTTGGTACAAATGATTCTGGGATTTAAAAGAATGTAATTATTGATCTCTCCGTCTCCTCCATGAAACCATATGCCTGACCCCCTTCAGGCTGGGTTCACACCTAGGCGTATCGAATATGCGCATTTGTCGCGGTAAAATAAAAGCGCGACAAACTCGCTTTTCCGAGGGCTACCTGGCTGTATCCTAATGGAAACGCGCGACAAAAACGCCCCAAAGAAGCTCCTGTACTTTTTTGGGCGTAGGACGTTTTGTAGCGCGTTCATACGGCCTGTAATACGCCCAGGTGTGAACCATACCCATAGGAAAGAATGGGTTTTCGGTGTTTGAGCGTTTTGCAGAGCGTTGGGCGCGCTACAAAACTCCCAGGTGTGAACCGTCTCTTAGACCTCTGGCGTGTAGGGTTGTGTAGAAAGTATGTGTAACATCTATTCTCATGCCACAAGTCTACACTTGGACAATGGCTACTAACCTTAAAGTGAACCATTTTAATCTTTTCAAAGGGAAAGTCCTTTTTTTAGAGCTGATATCAGAAGTTACCTGTTATTTCCTTTTATAGAAGAATTGTCCTCTCTGAAGCCAGATTATTTTATTTACTAGGGAATTGTCTTCGCTCAGGTCTACGCTCCACCAAGTGTCTTCTCATTGGCCAGGCAAAATGATTTGGCCGCAGGTTTATTGAACGAGAGGATGAAAGTTGGCACGGCTTAGTCCTAGTCAGGCCTCTAGTTAAAGTGACCCTGTCAGTTGAAATTGCATTTACTGGCAATGGGAGAGCTCGTGCCTCCTACCATCGCTCCCAAAGACTCTGACCATTACTCAGTCAGACTCTTCAGCATTAGACACTTCTGGAAATGTTGGGTACCTGTGCCCCTGATGCACACCGTGGCTCCTTCCTCTGACCCCTTGTTTCACTCACTACAGGCCTTAGCAGGGATGTAGGGGTTGCAGGATGGAACTACAGCACATGGTGGGGAACACAGGCTCCCAAAGATGTCAAATTCTGAAAAGTCAATGGAGGATAGAATGAAGGGCAGGAGGAAGTTGTGGGCAAGTATCCTCTATTGCAGGAAATTGACTGATGGGGTAATTTTAAGAAGTGAAACTTGCTTCAGAGAGGCACACAGAAGAGGAGATAGCAGGCATCTATTGGTGTTTGGTTACAGAGAGGTTTGAAGAAATTAGTAATGGAGGCTTGTTGGTCTACAAAGGATTGTTTCTTCAGAACATCTTAGATGAATATCGCTAGGAAACTTGATCTCTATAAGTGGAGATTTTCAGCCACTTTCTTTCATACATACAGTTTTTTTCATATATTGTTGAAAGTGCCTGTTGTACACCATACAGAGTTGTGACCAGTCTAGATAAGAGAGGTGCTCATAGTGATAGCCACTGATGTGAAAATAGGTCACCAGTGCTCCAAAATGCAAAGAAAATATTGTTTATTGCAAATAATGTCACATAGGTCAAAATGATGAACGTTTCGGGGCTGCGCAGGGTCCCTTCCTCGGGGAGACATAGTGATGTCACTGTGTCACCTTGGGGAAGGGACCCTGCATAGCCAAGAAACATTGATGATTTTGACCTATGTGATGTTCTTTTTTGGTAGAGCAAGCTGGTAGTGTTTATGGAACATTCTCTTGAAGGAAAGATCCTTATATCTGTGGTAAGCCAAAGGGCCATGTCACATGGGTGATCCTACTACTGGCGACACATCAAGAATCGACAAGCAGAGGAGTCCACTTACCTTAATGGAGTCCCACCCTCTCTGGCTTGGAATGTTGCAGAATCTCCCTCCCTAGTGAGGGATTAGCATCTTGCTGATCCGGGTAGTGAGGGAGCAACTACCTTCCAAAAGATAAGTGGTCTGTTGGCAGTCCTGTTGCTGGCCAGTTGTCATCAGTGACAGAATTGCTCTTCTGATATTGGCCCAAGTGTAACCTCTTATTCTTTAAAATACATCTTTGCCTTTCGGAGAAGTTGTCCTTTTTATAAAGCTCCCCAACCTCCTCCGTGTAGGCAGCTTGGGATTATACTGGCCTTTCTCCCAATCCAGTAATTTTTACCTCTGGCATGGCCCTGGCCGGCTTCTCTGCCTGCTTATTCCAATGGGTAGAGCCTTACTCCAGCTGCTGGAGGTCACCATAAGTATGGCTACCCATAGAAATGAATGAGAATGAAGAGAAGATGGCTGGGTCCATGTGGGCAGTAAGATC